CACAATGTATTAATTTTAGTTAGTTGGTTATGTATTTTTTAAATAAAAAATAAATTTTGAATTTACTTACTTGTAGCCAGAGTTAGAGGTGGTTGGATACTTATGACCGCTACTGTAAATAATAAAAGATAAAAAAAATAACTACAAAAGAAATATTAAAACTTTTATGAAGAAATTTTTAAAATAAAAAAGTATTAAACCTTTACAAAGAAGTTTTAGAATGAAGTACTTTCACAAAATGAGTATAAACTTTCACAAAGAAAATATTAATATCACTTTTATGAAAAGAATATTAATCTTTCACAAAGGAAGTATTAAAATCTTTATAAAGAAATATTAAAACTTCTACAAGGAAGTATTAGTATCATCTTCATAAAGGGAATATTAGTATCATCTTCATAAAAGAATTTTAATATTACTATAAAAAAATATTAAATTCAAATAGTTTTAGTTTTGGTTGTGATATTGACTATAATATTAGTATTAACGTTAATGTTAGTATTAGCTTTAACATTAATTAGAAACATAAATATCTACTTTTGTATATTTTTAATATTCTTGAAAATATAAAATTTTTTAAAAATTTTTTAATAAAAAAAAGAAAAAAAGTTAAATATTTATAGATTTATAAATTAATATATGCAATTTCTTTCATTTTATCAACATATCATAGTTTGTAATAAGTTTTATAAAGAAAAAAATAATATCATATATATGTAAGTTCTTAGACTAAAAGTTAATAACTATTTATAGAAATATGTATGATCCATAATCAAAATTAAATATCTTAACCAAACTATCTTAAAATTCTTTGCTAAAAAGATTATTTTATGTAAATTATTTTTTCTTGATTTTTTGAGTTCATGTTTACAGTTATTTTCAAAAGTAATATTTATTTTAGATCAAGTTTTCAGTTATAATTATATTAATAGTAATTATTTATATTTCTAATTTAGTAATTTTCTGATAATTATTGACAATCATAATTAAAATAATAATAAAAAATTAATATTTTAGAAATTTATATAAAAAAATCAGAATTTCTCTTATATTAAAATGTTTTTATATTACTGTCTTTATCTATAGTAATTTTTTTTTTTCTATTTATTTTTTCTTCTAATATTTGTATAAAATCTTATAAAAGAAACCTTAATATATTGATAAGATCTTAGATAACAATATATAAATCTCATGAAATCTCATAATATTCTAGATTAACCTTATAAAAAACTCTTAATCTAGTTTAAATAGTCATTAAGGTTTTAAATTATTATAATAAACTTTACAAAAATTCCTTAGCATTTCTCAAATATCTAGGCTGCAACATATAAATCTTATAAAAAAAGCCCTCAATATATTTCTGATAATCAATAAGATTTTAAATAGTAACATAATTTACTTTCTTAATTTCGCTTGAATGTTTCTAAAAAATGATCATAAAATGTCATTATAATTACTTCATCAATTCGCATTTAAGTAATTAGCGAGATCTCTATATATTTTTTTAGATATGATTTTTTATAAATGTATTTTACATTTTGAGGTCATAATGTTATTAATTATCACGTGGTAAAAGATTACAAAAAAAAAATTGAAAATTCAGTTCAACAAAAATGATCATTTGTTTACCATCCAACCAAGTCTTTAAAAAACGGATCATTAGATAAAACAGAGCTAACATCACTTTCAATTCCATTAAAATCAACTAAATAATCAAGACCTTTACTAGGATCTAATACCAACATTGAAGATGATAAGAGATCATAAGCAATATTCATTAATACAGTGGGTGAAGGACTTGATATGCCTTTAAGTTCACATATCTTGTTATATTTTCTTATAACCTATAAATAAAGAATATTTAGTAAAAATTTACGATATAAAAATTATATATCGAATACCATTACTTACATCCTTTAACTCGATTTCAAATTTTCCATTTTTCTTCAATAATAATAAGGCATAAAGAAATACTTTAACTTGTAGAGAACTTCTACTAATATATTTCTTCCAAGGAGTATTTGTTTTTCTTATAGCCTCTAGAACCATTTGTATAGTAACACGACTATTTACCGATACTAATTTATTTTTTACTTGTGCCTCAAGAACTCCTACTGCATATCTAAAAAAAAAGGCAGAGGATTAATTATTTATACTATTATCATTCCGAATAGTTTAAAGTAATTACCTGCAAATAAACAGAGCATTTCTTGCGTCTTGTGAAATAGCGCTCACTTTTCTTGCAGTAAATTCAACAGCTTCCCTTGCAAATAGATCAATATTTTCAAGCCGAGATTTCAAAATAATAAAAAGTTGTTCATGAGTATACGGTTCAAAATCCAATCTTTCCAGTCCTAAAAATAAAAAATTAACATATATTTATAACGGAATTCACCATATTTATAGTATATATTACCAACCAAATTTGCTCTCTTGACTTTTAGTTAATAATGAATGTGGTAATCGAATTTCATTCGTCAAAGAAATCAAAACGAATCCAGAATTTGGTAAAGCGGTCCATTCCAAAAGATTACTAAATACTATACTTTTTTTGGTGATAAGTGAGTCAAACTCATCTATCATGAAGACACTATTAAAAAAAAAAAAAAAAATGAATCGAATGACATCGCGTTAATAAATAAATGTTGAGAACAATATATCATAAAAAAAAAAAAATTTTTTTACTAACATTGAAACTCGTTGATCTTTATCATGAAATGTTTCATTCAATAAAGATTCTGCGTCTTTATAAGAAATTCGATCACCGGTTAAACCCTCCCATAAGACACTATACACTTTTTCGGGAGGTTTAACTTCCATTCCATTAATTTCAACAAATTCGAAAGAATTCAATTCCTACTTTGATTAATCAAATCAATTCAACTGATTTAGCTAGTTTCCAAACGAAAAAAAAAAATTAACTTTACCCGTTTAAATGCTTTTTCATTTAAATTTTTAATAACTTGTCGTACAGTAGCAGTTTTACCAGTGCCAGGTTGACCAGATATAAAAATACGACGTCCTTTAAATTCATCAATTGAATCTTTAATTTTATCATAAACTTGACCGTATTCTTTTTCACGACAAGGAAAATTTACAGGAACTTCTTCAAGTCTCAATTTCTCTCTTGCAATATCATATCTTGATAAAGGTTTATTTGTAGGTTTAATCCGATTATTTATATTTGATAATAAACGACCTGACCTTTTCCTATTTCACGTATTTAAAGAGGTATTAGATATATATATATACATAAAATGATAGAAAGAAAAGAACCTTTAAAAAATTTACCTTATTGAGGGTGGTGTAACTATTTGTATAGGATCTTGTAAATCCGGTAGTTTGTTCTTAGGAGTAATTATAACGATCGGGTATGTTTCTTTAGGCGTTATATCCTCATCAGTGTCAGTGTCTTCAGTACAAGTTGAAACTGTAATTCTTTTATTGCGTTTTGGAGTGCTAAGAGTAGCGCTTTTATTATTTCTTTTATTTCGTTTAGGTGTAAAAAGAACGCGTCTTTTCCTTTTAGGCGTGCATTTTTCTTCATATAATTCGTCCTCAAGATCCGTTTCTTCTAATTCATATTCTTCATTGCTTTCATTCCTTTTATTTCTTGGCATGGTAATACGCATTTATTTTAAATAATTTACTCTAATATTTATTTATAGTGAAAGAATTTCAATGCAGGGTATTAAAAGTTTAGAATTTAAAAAAATTCTAAAGTGGAACATCATTTAATTTGACGCGTTTTTGTTTCGGAAATTTTAATTCGTTATCAGTTAATGGTAATCACATGGCAAATTTTGAAATAAATAAATAATTTTTTATCCCTCCGAACTTTTATTATTAAAGGTACAAATAGTCATTACTACAGCATTACAATAAAAAAAAAAAAAAAACTATAATAGGGTAATAAAATTAAAAATTATTATTATTTTTTTTTTTCTTTCTAACAACATTTGCCACTCGTTTGTTTTTCATCAGGCATGGCAGTGACTTGAATAGTTTCACCAGCAGTAGGTCTAGCAACTTCTCCAGTATTATTTTCCAAAGCTTTATTCGAAACAATACGGTATATTTCTATTAAAAGAGAAAAAACAAAAAAAATTATGTAAATATAATTGATCCTACTATATTAAAAATATAAAGATTTGTTAAAAAGTTTTTACCGGTCAAAATGTTTTGGAAAGCGAGTTCTACATTGCTGGCATCCAATGCAGAAGTTTCAATAAATGACAAGTTGTTTTCAGCTAATATAAAAGAGCAAAAATGATTAATTAATTTGTAAATTTAACAAAACACCAACTAAATCAAAAAAATTTCTTTACCAGCAAATTGTTTGGCTTCTTCGGTCGGTACAGCTCTCAAATGCCTTAAATCACTTTTGTTTCCAACAAGCATAATAACGATATTACTATCAGCATGATCTCTTAATTCCTTTAACCAACGATTGACGTTTTCATAAGTAACATGTTTAGCGATGTCGTAAACGAGTAAAGCACCAACTGCTCCGCGATAATAACTGCGATTAACAATAAGATCATTCGATATCATTTATTTATCTTCGAGTATAACTCATGAAAGCATTAAGTTTTGAAATACTTACGCGCTTGTAATAGCTCGATAACGTTCTTGACCAGCTAATAAATAGAATTAAATAGAAAATTCAATATAATTGATTTGATTATAAAAAAAAATTTAATAAATATTATTTTAGTTACCAGTATCCCAGATTTGGGCTTTGATAGTCTTGTTATCTACTTGAATACTTCTAGTAGCAAATTCAACACCAATGGTTGACTTTGACTCCAAATTGAACTCATTACGTGTGAAACGCGAAAGAAGATTGGATTTACCAACCCCCGAGTCTCCAATTAAGACAACTATTATAAAATATTAATCCATTTAGATTTTGAGATTCTACTTAAAAAATAAATTACCATCTGAACTCTGCATAAAAATTTCTTATTCATAATAAAACTATGTATTTAAATACATCAAGATGCTCATGTTCAAAATATTAACGACTCAGATGACAGGTCTTTGTTATTTGTAAATTTGCCACAGTAGTAGTAACTCGCCATATATAATCTCAAAAAAAAAAAAAAAGGTAGTATTACTTACCTTTAAAAAGGTAATCATATTCGTCGTCTTTACTCATCTTTATGAATTAAACTGTACAAGTTTATATATCGAGCTAATAATTGTACTTTACAAGTAAACGAAACTTCGTTACAAAGGTATTTCACGTAAACGTAAAGTCCAGAAATAGTAGCTTAAGAGGCTGAATTGTTCTAAAAAGTTTCGAATTTATATCATTACCTAGTTAAGATTAGCCTGTGGTTTGTACTTTAGAAACACGACATTTGAACACAACTTGTGTAATAAATTATAGATTAAACTTTAATAATTAGAAATTTATAAAATTATTCCATCGCATATATCTACTTTTCTACGTATGAAATTATGTAATTACAAATTATACTTATATTATTTTTTTATTGATTTAATGTAGCTTGGCAATTCTTCTTGAATTTTTTTGTAAATATAATACCGTTCAGTAAGACGTTTAAATTGATTAAGTAGTTTATTTGCCGCCAAAGGAATTTCGGTTCCTGATTCATTATAATTTGTTGCATTCCAATGTATTAAATCAATGTCTGCCTTGATCGCCTAAAAGTGTATAAGGTTCAATAAATAAAAGAAAAAAGGTAGGTACAAAGTTATAGAATTTTTATAATTACCCTTAAAGAGCGATACCAATTGTTTTGTATACGTGCTTCAATCATTCGAAGGCACATCGGATATGGAATTTTTGGAAGATAATCAATTATTTCAGTGAAGTTGACGTGGTTTACAAACCAATCGAAATCAACTTCGTTAATAAGTTCAGAAATGATATTACTCATGGTCATTTTATCTACAAAAAAAAAAAGTCTTTAAAATTTTGAGGGGAGAAAAAAATGAGAACACGGGAGCAATATTTATTTATTATATACCTTCTTCTCCATAAGTTTTACTATCGACCAAATCTTGTTCATTTTCACGTTTCAATTCCCAGCTATGTAATGTGTCTTGAGTATTTTCTGGATCATTAGGTTCGTCCCTAAAATTAAATTTGTATTTTTATTTAATTAACGTATGTAATTTATACAAATAAAAAATAATAAACTTACCAATTAACTGTGTAAGTTTGCCATGGAGACCAGTCGTTAGCTGTTTTATCTTTGTTTATTTGAACAATAGTCCCAGAATATGGTGTATTATCATATGTAGCAAATACTTTTTCGTCAATTCCTAGTCTTTTGTTAAGACCTGCTGCTACCCGATCATAAAGTACAATAAAGTCTCCCATATTCATATAATCGTAATAGTATATAGTAACTTTGGATGTGGCCCTTCTATCAAACACGGGATCTATCGGCAAAAGTTGATTATTGTTTTGATAATCTTGAAGATTCAATGTTTTTGCTGTAATCTTTACAAAAGGTTTATTTTTGTCTCCTCGAGTCCATTCAACATCATCAATGAGACAATATAAGATATTGTCTATAGCTTTTTTATAAGTTGACGACCTATTCCACGCGTGATCCTTATGAAGCGTTGGATCACCAGGTCCCAAAGTTTGAAGTAAAACAGAATTGTCTGCATCATGATAACACCTTCGAAGCATTTCTTTATGCCCGTTTATGAAATAAATAATAACATCCCCAATCTGAGGGTGATACGGAGATGCTTGTGGTCTAATCATTTTAATCCATTCTGGACGAGTATCATCTTCTGGATATGCGGTATCCATTGAATCTGAAAGTGTCGCCCTAACTTGTTCCGAACCTCCCGAACCTCCCAATTTCTCATAATCTTGTTCAAGATCGTCTTCCATAAAACTTTCATCATCACCTCCATAATTTCCATGTGTATCTTCACATGGTGACACTTCATGTTGTGACGAGGATACAACATAAGGAGAATCAATATTATTTTGCGATTCTTCTTGCTCTGAATCCTCTTGATATTCCGAACCGCTTGGTGACTTTGGTGTTCTAGCACGTCTACTACTAGTATCAAATGAAGCGTGATCATTTTCTATAAAGCTATCTTCTTCTGAAGAAGTAGTTTCGCTTTCTCCATAATTTATACGTCTTTTGACACGTCTCAAAGGACGTGAACTTGGACCCGCAATACCGTAGTCATTACTTGGTTCCACATACTCATCATTCTCGCCATCAGATAATTCGACACGAGAACGCTTCCTTTTCTTCTTATTTTTATGATTGGTACTCGAAGCGCCGCCTGCAGCAAAACGTCTGTCTTTCTGTGCCTTTTTTTCGGCTTTCTTTTGTCTTCTTGTCTTGACTCCATAATCACTGTCCAAGTCAGGAGAATTTACGACGGATATTGGAATTGTGTCAATTTCCATAAAGTCAATTTCTTCGGTACTATCAGGAGTTCCTTCACGATCAGAAAGGCCAGGAATATAATCTTCATCATCGCTATCGTCTTGTAGTGGGAAGCTTGTTTCGTCAAGTAAAATGGGGTCAACATACTCGTACTCATCTTCAATGATAATTCTTCTTCTTCGTTTGGTCACATCTTTCTTGTCCATAAGATGTTTGACGAGACTTCCATACTTGATTTCTTCGACCTCTTCGACGAGAATATCTCTCTTCCAATTATCTTCTTGCCATTCTTGTACTTCAGGAATACCAGTACTGATAGCCTTAACTAATTGGTTTAAAAAAAATATTAAGTAAATACATCATGATATTAACACGTGATCACGAAGTTCTTATTTAACCTACGATGACTTTGAGTTGTTTGTTTGGGATAAGGAGCACCTCCCCAATTTACTACTTCACGAGGAATACTTGAATTCTGCGGAGTCCCTGAATTAACGTTAATTAAAACTCTTCTTTCTTCGTCAAAAGTGTATTCCTCGTAATCATCATAGTCGCTTCTGAATTTTTGCCCATGAATAGCTCGATCCTGAAATTTTTCATATGATGCGGTTTGGTCGATGCCAATTAAATGGCATTTACCGGCATTGTCGGTAACCGCAAACATGGACCCTAAATTGTAATCAAAAGTATTATAAATAAGTTAAAATTAATAACAAACCTTATATATTCGTGGTATGATAAATTACTTGCCATCATCTCTGAATTTGCCATCATGGAACTTGAGATCTAAATTTTCATCGATAAAATTTAAACTCGAACGATCCCATGCTGAATAAAAGAAGTAAAGAGTTAGTAAATGGTAATTATCAATTGCTATAAAAATTTAAAAGAATTCATACTTTTGACATTTCTGCCATCTTGTATATCCCACATCGATATCTTGCCATCATATCCTGCGGACATTATGGTACGCCAATCATGAGGATGTATATCCAGTACATAGAGATCGTTTGAATGAGCATGAATTTCAATCTTGAGTTCACCATTTTGAGAATCATATACTCGGATATTTCCTTTATTGTCGCCAAGTACAACAAGTGCATCATCAGCACTCCAGCGCATTGCGGTGACTCTGCAATCAGATTCTGGTGCCTTATCAGAGACGACCAATGTAATGGAAGTCCATTGTTGTTTTAAATAATTGTATCTCCAAATACGGGCAGTACCATCATCAGATCCTGATAAAAGACGATTATCTCCATGAGCAAATTCAAGACTGTTCACAGTCCTGAAGTGACCATCCAAATCTGATATATGAAAAGGACCGAATAATTTGGAAACGTCATTCTTTTTATTGTCTTTTTTATCGGTTTGTCCCGCATTCGGATTCGAAATCTCATGATTAGTAGAACTTTTATTATCCTTCTCCGCTTTTTTTACTGAACGCCTCTTTTCTTCTATCTGTGTTTTGGTCTGAATGGGTTGAAGCGCCTGAGAGCGAACTTGAGAACGATCTGGTGTATGAGCCTGCGAAATAACAATGTTTTGTGACGGTATGTTGCTTTGTTGTTCATTAGATGGTGGTGACATCGGACCAAAACTGAAACTACTGCCAACACTATATGCATCCTCATCACTGTCAATGTCTGCAGTATTATTATGTAATGGTGAACTTGGATCATAAGGTATTATCGGTGAGGCTGAAATCTTTGTAGATCCGACATTTATAGGAGATTCGATGATATTTGACTCGGTATATCTGGGAGAGCCAGTAAATAATGATTTCTCCTGGTTGTGAGATGGTTCCGAACCAACCGAAATACGACGAACCGAAATGGAACTTTTGCGCTTATTCTCTTCTTTTTCTTCGTCTTTTTCTTCGCGGGCCACGAAAGGGCGGGGCATTACAACGTCTAGAATGTCGATTTCTTCTTCATCTTCATCTGATCTCCCTTTTTCACCGCTTTCTAAAACATTGGTATCACCGCTCCCTTCTTTTTTCTCTTCGGTAACCTTACAATCTTCAAGGGCGATCGTTGAGAAGACTCGAATTAAACCGTCTGTCCCTGAGACGGCGAAAAGCGAACCAGTGTGATTGAATGCAGAACACTTCATTCGTACTCTGCCGACAGCGTTAATGGGCTTGATCTTATTTAACTCGCCAAAGGAAGTAGTGCCTTGGATTCGTTCATATTTTGCGATCCACGTGTACCAGTTATCGGAAGTGGTAACAATATACCTGTTCTCGATCAACGGACTTGGAGAAAACGCAATGGATGTGACCGCGTCATCCTAATTATTAATAAGAAAAAAGTTTTTATATTGTTAAATTAAAATATAAACAATGCAAAAGAGAAATCAAATCAAGAACTATATATTGTAAATTACCATTCTCAAACAATTAACGACTTGATATTTCTCCAGGTCCCAAACCAAAACTGTAGTATCCTCCGACGCCGTTGCTAATAGGTAACCATCTTTGCTGATGGCCATGTCGGAAATCACTGACCTATGTCCCTGGAGGGATCTCAACAGGATACCAGTACCCGTACACCAAACTTTAGCGAGTCGATCATCGCTTCCCTACATATAATAAATAATTAATACACAATTTAAATGAATGTAAAAAACATAAAATAAATAAAATTATTTTATCACACCGTGATGACTCTTTTCCCTGTTCTGTCAAAAAGGACGCAATATGTGGTGGTATTGTGACCATCCAACGTGGTTAACTAATAAAATAATTTAAAGATAAAAATTATAAAAGGAATTCATGACAATTATAATAACAATAAACATACCTGCTTATAATCGTTATATATGACCCTTATGGGTTGCGAGCTCTTAATCCTACCTCCACCTAGTTCTCGGGAGACGACAGCAGCGGCTATTATTATAAATAAGAATAAATAAATAAATAAAAAATAGATAATATATAGAATGATTACAAATTATAAATTTCTAACCAGGATTTTGATCAACAAGGCCAGCAAGCAATCTTGATGGCGCATGCTGTGCTAGGCCTAGCTTTGCCCGTCGAGCATCAATTTCCGGACATTTTGACGTTTCGGACTGGTATAAATTTTCTCTTATTTTGCCGACGTTTAACGGGCGACATGGTAAACGGACCTATATGAATGTCACGTGAAAGAAATCATGTGATTATAAGTCATGTGAATGAGTCATTTAAACGTCGTTCATGAAGAGTTTTTTTTTATAAAAGTTTCTTCGCCACGTGACATCCAGAAGAAGCCAAAAAAAAAAAAAATAAAATATGAAAATACACGAAAGAATTGAATGAATAACTCACCAGCTCATCGTAGGTTTGCAAGTGAGTATTTCCTTCGAAATCAGTTCTAAGGGGAAGCAACTCTGGATGGTCTGTCAGATCTTTTACCAAGGCCTGATGTGCCCTTTGTGTTTGCGGGAATTTTTGGAGGAATCGCGCAACTTGGAACATAGCCTCTGCAAGATGTTTAAAAAAGAAAGGGTGTGAAAAAAATATGTTAATACGTGCAAGATGAAAGAATATGTCTAATAAATAAAAAAAAATGGTATTTGTCGCGCTATATAGAAGGAAAAATGTTATAAAAGTAAGAAGTGAAACGCTTTGAAAATGTTACCGAAATCGAGAACAAAAGTGAAGACCAAGTACAATCATTTTGAAAGCGAAGTAAGCAAAACAATATCATCATGTAATATAAAATATATTAAGAGAGAGTGTGTATATCATATATACATGTATATATACATACATACATATAAATTGTTGTCAAAGAAGATTCGAACCATTTGTTGAATCTCAATCAGGATGTTTTGGATTTGTAGTTTATCATTTTTTTTTTAAAAAAAAATGAATAACACAATAAATACATACCACGTTCGAGGTTTGTTAATTCATTTTTAACGTTAAATTTTTGTTGTTCGCTCATTTTGGTTTATAGATTCTTCCAATGGTACTTTATATGTTATTTATTATAATAGAATAAACGACGTCTGAAAAATCTGAAAAAGTTTTTTTACGAAAATCTTGTAAAACTTGTTATATAAACCACAAATTTCGATTTTTTAGCCGGGATCTTTTTCGGAAATTTAACCTGGTGAATTATCCGATAAATAAAATTTTATACCTAATCGGAAAGATTATCGGGTTAATTTTTTCAATTTTAATTATAATAATTTATAAAAATTGAACTAATATAAAAATGTAAATATAAACCAAATTATTATAAATTAACAATATATATATTATAAACTATTTTAAAAATATTAAAAATTAATTATATATAAATATATATATATATATATATTATTAAATGTAATGATATTTTTATTAATAATACCTGATAAATTTTAGAATTTTAATAGTTTTTTTTTAAAATTTAAAATTTGATTTAATTTTATTAATATACTTTAGCACTAATTAATTTGATGATATCAAAATTAATTACATCAATTTAACATTTATTATAAATTATTAATAAAATAATTATATTTGTTAAAATACAATTTATCTGTTAAAATATAATTTAATTAATTATTTATCAGTTCATATCAAAGTATATTTATTAATTTTAAAAAACTTAAGTTTAATTAAAAATATTTTATAATAAATAGTTTAATTACAAATATATTAATATTTGAATTATTAAAAAATAATTAAAAAGTATTTTAGATAGTGAGATACTACATGCGATATAATTATATCGCATGTAGTATTTCACTTACTTTAAATTATAGTACCACATATAATCTAAATATTACATATAATCTAAGTACTACATATGGAAGTATTTCTAGGAAAATCAGGTTTTAAGAAAAATTTAACTAAAATTAAGAGCTTAATACATTTTAATCTAATAACATCAAAAC